ACCAATGGTTTTTTGTTTTGTTTTGTTTTGTCTTTTTGAGACAGGGTCTCCTGGTAGCCCCAGCTGGTCTGGAACTCCCTATGTAGGCCAGGCTAGCCTTGAACTCACAGAAATCCACCTGCCTCTACCTCCCAAGTGCTGGGATTATAGGCATGCACCACCACACCTAGCCAGGAGTTTCTTATGTAGCCCAGGCTGGCCTCAAATTCACAGCAGTTCTCTGCTTCAGCCTTCCAAATGCTGGGATTAAAGGCACGTGCCACCATGCCTGGTTTACCAATGTATTTTTTAAAGACCTTGATTTGTGACTTCATTTATTGTATTATAAAAACTTCATGAAACTGTCCCCACATTGGGACATAGCATCTGGGAAAACCTGAATCTGTGTTCATATTAGGCTCTGGAATAAATTATCTCTTATTCCCTTTGAGATGATAGCTATATTTTTGTGTTGACAGTTGCAAAGCAATCTCACCATGCACAGATGAATGAATCAACAAATTGTAGTCTATCCACACAGTAGAATATTATTTGGCTGTTAAAAGAAGTGCTGAGGCCGGCATGGTAGCATACGCCTTTAATCCCAGCACTCGGGAGGCAGAGGCAGGTGGATCTCTGGGAGTTCAAGGCCAGCCTGGTCTACATAGTGAGTTCCAGGACAGCTGGGGCTACAGGGAGACCCTGTCTCAAACAGACATAAATAAATAAATAAATGAATGAATGAATAAGTATTTTCTTAAAAAGCTTTATGAAACACTCATTATTGTAGCTGGGCGTGATGGCACACGCAGAGCCAGGCGGATCTCTGTGAGTTCAAGGCCAGCCTGGTCTACATAGTTCCAGGTCAGCTGGAGCTACAGGGAGACCCTGTCTTGGAACTGGAGTTATGGACAGTTGTTTGCTGCCATGTGGGTGTTGGGATTTGAATCCAGATCTTCTGCAAGAACAACCAGTGTTCTTAACCGCTGAGCCATCTCTCCAGCCCCCAAAAAATACATATTTTTAAAAATTATTCCCCCCCAAGTGCCGGGCGTGGTGGCGCATGCCTTTAATCCCAGCACTCGGGAGGCAGAGGCAGGCAGATCTCTGTGAATTCAAGGCCAGCCTGGTCTACATAGTGAGTTCCAGGACAGCTGGGGCTACAGGGAGACCCTGTCTCAAAAAGACCAAAAAAATAAAAAATAAAAGAAGTGCTGAGACCTGCCACATCATGGATGAACCTTGGAAAGATCCCAAGTGGAAGAAGCCTGATATACTGTTGTTAAGATAAAATAGATAGTTGGCCCCTGCTCAGGGTCTCTAACTTATGCAGTGCTAGAAATTGAACCCAGGGCTTCCTGCATGCTAGACAAGCACTGTACCAACTGAGCTACATCACTAGCCCTCACCCTTTGTAGTGGAGTCAGTCTTCTTTCACCCTGGTGAGGTAGGGCATTGAATACTCCAGGTTGGCTGGCCTTCAAGCCTCTGGCAGTTCGTCTCCACCTCCCATCTTGCTGTGGGAGTGCTAGACTATAGACTACAGATTACACGGCACTGCATCTGGTATTTTTTTTTTTTAAGACAGGGTCTCTTTATGTAGCCCTGGCTGTCCTGGAATTTGCTATATAACCCAGGCTGCCTGCCAACTCACAGAGATCCACCTGCCTTCTTGTCCTGAGTGCTGTGATTCAAGGCATGTGCCACCACTCAAGATGGCTCAGTGGATTAAGTGCCTGCTATACAAGCCTGGTAACCGGAGTTCAGTTGATCCCCAGAGCACACTTTAGAAAGCTGGATTCAGTGATGCATATCTGTAACCCCTCTGGGAGATGGGAGGTGGTAAGAGAAGAACGGCGCAGAAGCTTTGGAGCAAGTTAGGCTAGAGTACAAAGTATGGCAGAAACAGGGAGACCAAGTCTCAACAAGAAGGTGGGAATGACTCCAAAAGTTGTCCTCTGACTTCCACATGTGCACTGTGGCATATGCACAGACATATTACACACACAAATTAAAAAAAAATTATTAGTCCTGTTTCTCCAAAGTCCTTAATGAATATAAATGGGCAGTTCCATCACACTTTATATATATTTAATAAGTACATTCTATTTGTCTAGCTTTATATGAGGTGGTAGGAATACAAGGAAGACCAACAACAGACTCTGCTCTCAGGTTGTTCACTCTCTGTACAACAGTAGTTAACAAGGATTTCTCCTTTTCCTGCTGGAGTTAGGCCTGGCAGACCAATGCTTTTGAAAACTACTGGAATGCCTTTGTGGTAAATGTCCGTAATCCCATTCCTGGGGAGGCAGATGTTTAGCCCAGATTAAATCCTGGCTAGCCTCAAATTCACAAGGATCCTCCTGCTTCAGCCTTCTTGGACACTGGGAAAGAGAGGGTCATCACACCAGACTCACCAACTGAGTTTCCAAATACCAATTTTAGCAATTTCTGACACTGTCTGTAGAAAAAGCTCTATGAACAAAGAAACTTTGCTACTTCAATCAGATGTGAAGCACTACCTTTATGAGAATGTGATCATCCAGCACTCTAGATGGATCTAAGAGTGGCTGAAAGACTGTGGTGCACTATTCCAGTCAACTGCAGGTTTCTCAGGAGTGGGCTGTGGAGTACAAATCTTGAGTGGGAAAGATTGAGACACAGACTAAAGGATAAAAACACCGGTGGTGCATACCTGAAATACCAGCACTGCAGTGGCCAAGGCTGGAAGATCTTGAGTCTAAACTAGGCAACATCGGAAGATCTTGTATTAGAACACACAAGAAAAAAGAGTCATCTACAAAATACTAGCTAAAACTAAGTGTGGTAGTACATGTGAGCATGCAATCCCAGAAGTTGGGAAGTGTAGGTAGAAGCAGTCTGGGCTATATGAGACCTCTTTCAAAAAACAAAACACCTGGGCCAGGTGTAGTGGCCCACGCCTTTAATCCCAGCACTTGGGAGGCAGAGACAGGTGAATCTCTGTGAGTTCAAGGACAGCGTGGTCTACATAGTGAGTTCTAGGCCAGCTGGGGTTACAGGGAGACCCTGTCTCAAAAAGACCAAAGACAAAACAAAACACCCAAACAACCCTTTTCAAAAAACAAACCCAAACCAACAAACAAAAAATGAAAACAATTCCCAGTTTAATACAAAACTCAAAGTCAAACTGTAGTATAGAACTTGTTTAGAAAGATAACTGTTTCATCAGACACAGTGGCCCATGCCTTTAATCCCAGCACTTGGGAGGCAGATGCAGGTGGATCTCTGGGCATTCTAGGCCAGTCTACAGGGAGATCCTGTCTCAAAAAGACCCCCCCCAAAAAAAGACCCCCAAAACCCAAAACAAACAATAAACACAACTTCATGTTTTATTTCTTTTTTGAAAATTTTATGTGTATGAGTGTATTGCCTGCATATAAGTGCATCTGAGTTGTGCAATGCCCAGGGAAGATAGAAGAGGGCCCCGGATCCCCTGGAACTGGAGTTATGGGCAGTTGTTAGCTGCCATGTGGGTGCTGGGAACTGAATCCACGTCCTCTGAAAGAGTGGCCAGTGCTCTTAACCTCTGAGCCATCTCTCCAGCCCCTTATTTTTCTTTTTTATTTTATTTATTTTTATGTGTATGTGTGTATTGCCTGCATGTAGGTAAGTGCACCCATGTTGTGCAATGCCCACAGAGGACAGAAGAGGCTGTTGGAGCCCCTGGAACTGGAGTTACAGACAGTTGTCAGCTGCCATGTGGGTGCTGGGATTCGAACCCAGGTCTTCTGCAAGAACATTCAGTGTTATTAACTGCTGAGCCATCTCTCCAGCCCCCCTTATTTCTTTAGGTCAAGTTCTCATTTAGCTTTATAATACAGATGTTTAAAATTAATATTCCAACTTAGATCTAGATTAAAAAAAAAAAACCCTAAAATTGTTACGAAGCCCTGTTTTCCGTACACTTTACTGTGTAATTTTAGTGGAAATCTGTCTAGACTCCTTTCAGAGAAAATAAAATTAACCATATGTTTTTCTGTCTTGGGCTCCACATGAGTGAATTACAGCTGAATTTAACAGGTACTTAGTACAACACGTTTTCCTACTTCCTACACTGAAGACTAAATGTGGACTGTATTTTTCCTTGCTTTTCACTTTCCTCACATTTACCTAAATGCAACCTGCAAGGGTGAGATGCAGTCATTATAAAAGTACTGTGGGAATATTTGACAAAACAGGCCATTCAAAAGGAAACCAGTTCATCTAATGGCAGATAAGGAACTGGATGCACCAAAATAGCCCTATTAGTACCCGCAGGTACACCATGGAATATGGCAATCCTGTTTAATTTGCAAACCTCTTGGCAGGGAGGAGGAAGGGGTGGAAAAGTTTAGGTGAGGGCTTTTAATGACTAGTCAAACTGATCATGAGTCACTGCAAGTTTCCAGTTAACAATCCCTTTTGCAACACAGCCTGGGCCCCAATCCTTTACGAGCCACGTCGCAATATAAGTTGTAACATCTCACGATTTTACTGTCTCTTCCACGAATGAATACATAAAAAGAAAGACGCTCCCCGCCGGCTTTGAAATATAGGGCAAACTCTGGCTGAGGGTGGAGGAAAGAGAGCAAGGGAGGGAGACTGCGAGTCAGAGAAAGCAGAAAAGGTGCTGGAAAGGGAAGGAGTCTTTTTTCCAGGCTAGGTCTGCTACCCGCGTCCTAACAGGCCGGAGTGGAGCCTTGCCGTTGCTGAAGGGCCCGGTCCACAGCCCAGCCTGACCTGCGCCGGGACCGCCCCTGTCCCCACCCAGTGACAGATGGGGCCGTCGATCCGCCACCAGACCTCCACCTCCTCCCGTTGCCTGCCGGGAGCTCCAGCCGCTTCCGGTTGCGCCCGGTCACTGAACTCCGACTCCCGTCAGCCCCCGAGAAAACCGCAGCGGCTTGCGCGGGCGCTGCCGGAACTTGTAGTTCAATGGGCAGGCGCGCTTCGTAGCCGGAAACGGAGGCGGACAGAGCCGGGAACTACCGAAGCGAAGGTACGGGTGGTGGCGAAGGGTCAATCCACGCCGGACGTGGGGTTGGCGGCGAGGCCGGCGGCGGTAGTTGGGGCTGGGTGGGAGGAGATCCTCTCGCATACACGAGGAGGGTTGAGCCGCCGTCTCCGCGGTCGCGAGTGCGGAGTGTGGACTGGCGCTTCCGCACAGGGCGTCAGGGAACGAGTCGTTGGCCGCCGGCCCCTCTGCCTCGCGATCCTCCCTCGGTCAGCGCGGCCTGCTCCTCCCCGGTCGGCCGCCCCCGCCTCCATTTCCCGCCCTCTCTTCACCACACACACGGCCCCCCCGATCATGGATCCCGGCAGCGGCGGCGGCGGCGGCGGCGGCGGTGGCGGCGGGAGCAGCAGCAGCAGTAGCGACTCTGCGCCCGACTGTTGGGACCAGGCGGATATGGAGGCCCCCGGGTCGGGCCCTTGCGGCGGCGGCTCTATGGCCGCGGCGGCCGAGGCCCAGCGTGAGAACCTTAGCGCGGCCTTCAGCCGGCAACTCAACGTCAACGCCAAGCCCTTCGTGCCCAACGTCCACGCCGCGGAATTCGTACCGTCTTTCCTGCGGGGCCCGGCCCAGCTGCCGCCATCCCCACCCGGCGCGGCCGGCGGCGACCACGGAGCGGGCAGCGGCGCGGGAGGCCCTTCGGGTAAAAGGCCGGGCGAAGGCATCCTTGGGGTGCGGGCGGCCGGCTGGGGCCGGAGCTTCGCGGGTGGGGTGAGTGGAGGGGACGCCCGGCCTGCACGTGGGGCGCTGACAGTGGCGCCAGCAGGTCTGGGTGGGGCGCCTGGAGCCCCAGAGCTGGCCCGCATGGGGCGCCAGGGTGAGGAGGAGCAACGGCCGGGGAGACCCGTATCCCCGGGGCCACGTTCACCCCTGGACGTGGGGACCGTATGGGACGGAGCCATCCCTTTGCCGGTCAGTGCCACGAGGCCCGTAAGTGTGGACAGATGGATCCTGGAGTCGGGCGGGTGGGTGATGTGAAAGCCTAGGAGTTGGGAAGGACAAGTGGCCCAGAGAGCTGCTCCTGCTGCAGTTTCTACTATTGGAACTGTAATTACGTTTTAAAAAGCTATGGCACAGAACCGACCTGAAGGAATCCCAAGATGCATTGCAGGCTTGTGGTCCGTCAGAAACTGTTGGCTGTCGATACGAAGACCTTTTTTTACCCTTAACATTTTGAATACCTAAAAAGTTCAAAAAATGCCACAATTCCTCACCTAGTAGTAACATGTGGCAGGAAACGTCATTGATTTATGTGCTGTTTTAAAGTGGGGCTTAGGACTTTTCCTCTTAGTGGCAGGTTTAGACTTTTCATTGCTATACTTGTTGGCCTTATTCGAACTGCTTGGTATAAAAGTTTGTTTATATTTGTGTGTCAGTAGTCTAGTCTGAACATGAGACACTTGAATATTTCTGATAGTTGTCACATGCAGCTTACTAGACATTGTGTTATTTCAAGACCCAGTCTTTAAACATCTTGTTTTTACAGGCTTTCAGGTATTAAATTTTGTCTTCATGCTGGTGTTCATTTGAATAAATACGGTTTTAAAAATGAAAAGGGAAAGAAAAAAGACTAAATATCTTTTTATTACTTAGCCAGGACGTTGGTGGGCCAGATCATGGGATGGGCACAGCTTATTTTAAGTGAGGGCATATTGTTGATTTCTCTGCTGGAAGTGCCCAGGCATTAGCCTGGTGTGGTGTTACTGCTCTGTAATGCAAACATTCTAGAGGCTGAGACAGGAGGGTGGTGAGTTGGATGTCTGCCAGGGCTACTTAGACCCTACCTTTAAAAAGAAAAAAAGGAAAGAAAAAGGGTCTGAGGGTGTAGCTTACTTGAGCCCTGGGTTCAGCCCTCAGTATCCCATAAACTGGGCCTGGTGGTACATACCTATAATCTCAACGCTCTGAAGGTGGAGGTGGGATGGTTAGGCATTCAAGGTCATCCTCCTGAGTTTGAGGCTGACCTGGGTTACATGAAATACAACATATCCCCCCCCCCAACAACAACAACAACAAAACTTTTGTATTGCATGAAAGTGCTTTTGAGAGAACCAGGTGTGCTAGTACATGTCTGCAATCCCAGAACTCAGGAAGCTGAGACAGGAAGATCTTTAGTTGAGGCCACCTCGCCTGTATGGCAAAATCATGTCTCAAAAAACAACCAAAAATACTGGCAAATATAAATAAAAGTGCTCTTGAAGTTTAGTTTCTTGAGAAACTTGCTTCATTTTGCTCTCTAGGAGTGAAAGGGTGAAGTTTAGGGAAATGCTTTTGTGAGGAATGTATGCAAGCACAGCTTGGATTTGGCTGTTTCACTGACTGGTATTTCTTTTATTTGTGTTGATGTTTTTCCTTTAGAACAAGGGAATGTTTGCTTATATTAAGCTATTTTTGACTTCCTTACAAGTTGCTAAAGGTGCCTGTTTCCCTCTACCTTATCTTGAAGCTTCCATTTTTTGGTCCAGCCATTTTCCTTTTCTGACCCTCCTTCCTCCTTTGGAACTACTAGCACTGAGTAGAATTGGGACTCCATTTACAGGCCATATAGCCATTGACTAAATCATTAAGGTTCATAGAGCTTGGTTTGCCTTGAATGGTCACTGTGTGTGACTAGGCTAAATTTGTAAGGGTGTGATTATCAGAAAGTCCCTACATTATATATAGTAATTCTGTGTGTGTGTACATGTCAGTTTTTTTTCCTATTTAATCAGAAAAACATTTTGGTCTCATCCCAATTGCTTCTACAAAATTAAAAAAGTTTTTAATTGGTGTGTGATCTCAACACATGAGAGACTGAAGTAGAAGGATTGCCACTAGTTCCAGGCCAGCCTGTGCTACATACTTCTGGGCCAGCCTGGGCTAGATTAAGAATGTATATTTATCCAAAAGAAGAAAGAAATCCTGTATAGGGTGTCTGGAGATTACCTAAATGGAGGTTTGTAGCTACGTGGGATTATTGACTTGGGAGTTCCAGACTATTCTGGGTCCATAAAATACCACCATCAGTGAACCTTGCATGGGGAAAGTGGAAAAAACAAAAATGGCTGCAGCACGTAGACTGCAGCTGACAAAGGGGAAGCCAGATGCCTTTCTTGGTGAGGAAATGCTCCATAAGGTCTTTGTTATTAAAGCTAACAAAGTTTTGGTGGGTGTTTTTTGTTTTTGTTTTATGGGTGCTTGTGTTTTTTCTTTAAATTAAAAAATTTTTTTATGCATATGGGTGTATTGCTTGCATGTATGTAAGTGCACCCATATCATCCAGTGCTGGTGGAGGTCAGAAGAGGGCATTGGATCCTCTGGAACTAGAGTTGTAGATGGTTGTTAGCTGCCGTTAGGTGCTAGAAACTGAACCTGGGTCCTCTGCTAGAACAGCCAGTGTTCTTATCCATTGAGCTATCCCTCCAGCCCCATGTGGGCTAGGCACTAGGAGGGTTGTCAAAGAGCTGTGGAGGGTAGATCTCTGGAATAACCTTTAAGAGGTGCCTGTCAGTGATGATTATCTGTTTTTTTTTTTCCTCTGGAATTTGGATGGTTTGTCTTTTTTTTTTTTAAAGACAGGGCTGCCTAGAACAATCAGTAGTGGAAGAAGAGGCTTTGGTGCAAAGTGTTTTTCACCTTCCTGGGAAGGCTGTTGGATATACCTGTCTCCAGCCATTCCAAGTCAGAACTGAGGTCCAGTGTTGACCTTGCTGTCCTTGGAAATGTGAAAATACAGACTCACAAAGAATGATTATGTAAAACTTATTTAAGCGTAATTAAGTGTAATTTATGGATGTCCAGTTTGCTATAGAGCCAAGTAAATTGGTCTAATTCTCATTAAAATAGAGGTCTCAAGCTGGGCGTGGTGGTGCACGCCTTTAATCCCAGCGTTCAGGAAGCAGAGGCAGGCGCATCTCTGAGATTGAGGCTAGCCTGATCTACATAGTGAGTTCCAAGCCAGCTGGGGCTACTGGGAGACCCTGTTTCAAAAAGACCAAAAAATAAAAAAATGAAAAATAAAATAGAGATCTCAAAAATGAATGAAAATGTAGAAGACAAAGCTTAATGTTTTTATTTAAGATTTTAGTGTATAGGTTTACAACCATTATCACCTAGTGGATTTTAATTTAATTTCTTATTTCTGAAGGCAAGATTTCACGTTGTCCAGGCTGGTCTTCAATTTTCTGCATAGCTAAGGATGACCTTGAACTTCTGATCCCCCTGCCTCACTACCTTCCAAGTTCTGGGATTACAGTCATAAACCACCATATACAGTTTGTGGTATTGTAGGTCAAACCCAGGAATTTGTACATGCTAGGAAACTCCCTACCAACTGAACTATATCTTCAGTCTTCTCTTCATTTTTTGTGGGGTTTTTTTGTTTTGTTTTTTTTTTGAGACAGGGTCTCTCTGTAGCCCCAGCTTTCCTGGAACTCACTGTGTAGGCCAGGCTGACCTTGAACTCTCAGAGATCAGCCTGCCTCTGCCGCCAGAGTGCTAGGATTAAAGGCGTGCACCACCACCCCCGGCCTTGTTTTCGTATTTTTAAAAAGTGTTTTCTTGGAGGCTGGAGAGATGGTTGAGGGGTTAAGAACACTGTTCTTGGAGAAGACCCAGGTTCAAATCCCAGCACCCACATGGCAGCTAACAACTGTCAATAACTCCAGTTCCAGGGGATCCAGCAGCCTCTTCTGTCCTCCAAGGGCATTGCACAACACGGGTGCACATACTTACATGCAGGCAATACACTCATATACATAAAAATATGAAATAAACATTTAAAAAAATATTTTATGTGTATGAGTGTATTGACTGCATGTAGGTAAGTACACCCATGTCATGCAATGCCTACAGAGATCAGAAGAGGGTGTCGGATTAGTTGCCATGTGGGTGCTGCGATTCTAACCCTAACCCTAACCCATCTCTCCAGCCCCCCAGGCTGTCCTTTCAGTCTTCTACCTCAGCTTCCCAGAATGCTGGTATGATTACTGGTGCTTGCCACATGGCTGTCTGACCTAATGGGTGCTTTCTGATCACTGGATAGTCTCACATGGTACTTCTTCTGTGCTAGCAGATTAGAGAGGATCCAAAATCAAAGGACTGGTTTGTGTAGAAGTGTTCTAATACTTTATTATGTTAAACAGTTCCTGTTGTAGGTAAGATTTTCTTTGCCCTTTTTTTGTTTTGTTTTTGGTCTTTCCGAGACAGGCTCTTCCTATAGGCAAAGCTAGCCTGGAACCCACTATGTAGACCAGGCTGTCCTTGATCAGATCTGCCTGCCTCTGCCTCCTGAGTACTGGGATTAAAGGTGTGCACCACTGTGCCTGGCTTTTGTTCTTTTTTTTTTTCTTTTATGATGCCAGTGATGAAGCTCAGCCTTGTGTGCCTGCTAGGCAAGTCCTCTACAATTTAGCTGCACCCCAAGCTAAGTGTGGGTGTGGAGAGGGTGTCCATGGAAGCCGGAGGAGGTCATCAGGTGTTCTGTCATCCTCTGCCTTCCTTGAGATGGTTTCTCGCTGATTCTAGAGCATTAGGGTGGCAACCATTAAGCCCCAGTTATTCCTCTCCTGTCTTTGAGACCCATAGCACTGGTGTTAAAAGCACGGGACTGTAGAGATGGCCCAGCGGTTAAGAGCATTGACTGCTCTTGCAGAGGACCCTGGT